CTCCTAGCCTCTCCACTGCTAGCCCGTTCTCTCTCTCTCTCTTTTACGATCAGAGGAAACAAGAAGATGCTCGGTGTAGTCGGCACTTTGCTCCGTTCATCATTTCGGTTTTTTAGTTTTTTTATGCTTTGCTTTATGTAACCCCCCCCCTTTAAATGAATGACCCAACGAAATATTTTTTCTTTTCTGCTCTCCTTACCCCTTCCCTCTCTCTCTACCCCCCTCTCTCCCCCTCCTCTCTCTCTACCCCCTCTCTGCCCCCCCTCTCTCTCTGCCCCCTCTCTTCCTCCTCCATTTCGCTCTCTCTCGCTCTCTTTTTATAACTACGACAAGTGCTGCATCTGCACGCAGCCCTTCCCACAGTCAAACGGCCTCCGACGGGTAGCTTATATCTGCATGCAGAGCTCTCCGTCATCTGCCACCGAGCACACGGCCTCCTCCAGCGCCCACTGCTCCTTGAAGACCGGCACGGCGTGGGTCAGCCGCGCATGGCGGAACTCCAGCCACACCCTGGCTCCGACCAGAGCGCGGAAGATGCCCAGGCTGCTGGCCGGACGTTGCCCCTCCAGGGCTACCTTCCTCGCCCTGTACATGGCGAGCTTGGCGTAGCCGAAGAGCACGTTGACCAGCCCCTGAAGATGTTGGGGTCCGTCGCTCTTCAGGTATCCAAAGATGAGGACCGTCGGGGAGAAGTGGAGGCTGAACCTTAGGAGGATGTTTCTCAGGATCTTGAACAGCGAGTCCAGGCTCTTGCACTCCACGTATTGGTGCGCCACCATCTCCACTTTACCGCAGAACCGACACTCTGGGGACGTGTCGATGAAGCGCTCCAGGGAGGCATTGGTGGTGATGGTGCCGTGGGCGATGTTCCAGCTGAGGTCGCCGATGCGGTTATACGTCGGGCTGGAGTAGAGTTGTCTCCAGCGAGGCCTCTCTGGAGAGATGCAGGGCAGGGCTTTCATCCAAGCATGGTCCTTGTGGCTCATCAGGGTGTCCTGTTGGTGAAACCGGACAATGTAGGAGTAGAGCACCTTCCTCTTTACATTTGCGAAGGCCACCTCCGGCAGGTCTTCCAGCTGGCACAGGTTGTGATCCGCCTTCGTTTGTCGGCCTTGGCCGATAGCTGCCGCTGAGAAGGCCCCCTTGGCTTCGGCCAGGATCCGGGCAGCCACCCGGAGCGACTGCAGCCCTGTCTTTGCGGCCATGTCTGCTGGTCCGAGCCACCGGCCCTGTGTTTCAGGCTCCACCAGATCTCCCATCCTGGTGAGCCGCGTGTTGGCGAGGCGTCTCTCCATGCATGGGGTGGTGGTGGTGGATGGCAGCTTTGTCTGTGGGTTCCTGAGGATGGGTTCGAAGACCAGATCCTCGACCAATTGCGGCTGATTCAACCTCCTGACGGCGAGGGAGCTCCATGTCTGCAGGACGCTCCTGTAGAAAGGTGGCAGCTGTCCCAGTGGGAGGCCCTGCAGGTCCATGTAGAATAGTTGTTTGGAGCACTGCAGACTCCCCAGTTGTTTCAGGAGGAAGGAGGCCGTGACGCTCCAGGCTGGTGCAGGGGCGGCGTGCAGGAACTTTTGCGCGGCTGCAGTCGGAAGGTGGCCAGCTGACTCCGCACACACACCAGCCCGTTACCGCCCTCGTCAAGTGGCAGGGCCAGGACCCCAGCCGCGACCTGGTGTCCTCCACCCAACCAGAAGAAGTCGAGGACTCGCTTCTGAAGTGCGTTGACGAGGCTCATGGTTGGGGGGGGTGTAGGGAGAAAAGCCGGTGCCACAGCTTGGACGTCACCAGCTGGTTCACCACCGACGTCTTTGTCCTGAAGGTGAGGAACTTGCACAGGCTACTCCAGGTGCCCAGCCGCTCCTTCACCTTCTCCTCCAGCTCGACCCAGTTCCTCTGCGGTGGTTCTTCCTCTGGTCCAAGGAATACCCCCAGGTGGTGCAGCGATGTTGTGCTCCAATTGATGGCTTTTGCCTTCTCGGGACACTCGGTCATATCCCACGCTCCAACCAGCAGGCCGCTGCACTTTTGCCAGTTCATTTTTTAAGAGGAGGCTTTCGAAAATACCTCCTGGCACTCATGCAGCAGGGCGACATCATCCAGGGAGCGCAGGATGAGGAGGACTACGTCGGCGTATGCCGTCAGGACCAACTTGACGCTTGGTTGCCTGAGCACTAGGCCGCTGAGTCTCTGCCTTATGAGACTCAGGAAAGGCTCTAATGCCAGGGCATAAAGTTGGCCCAACAATGGGCATCCCTGTCTCACTCTTCGCTCGAATTTGACCGGGGCAGTGAGGGCGCCATTGATCTTGATCATACACTCTGCCTTGGTGTAGAGTAGGCAGATCGTTCGGACAAAGGCACCCCCAAAACCAAAGGTCTTGAGGGTTCCCAGCAGTTATTTGTGGTCCACTCTGTCAAAAGCCTCTTCCTGGTCAAGGGCCAGAAACGCGATTGGGATGCTCAACCTTTGGGACACCGCGATGAGGTCCCTGACCAGGATGATGCCGTCGTGGATGGTTCGTCCGGGGATGGTGTAGGACTGGTCCCTGTTTACGACTTGTGCAATCACCCCTTTCAGTCGCAGGGAGAGAGCTTTCGTCAATATTTTGTAGTCTGTGTTCAGGAGGGACACCGGACGCCAGTTTTGTAGGTGCCTCAGGTGTTCTTGGGCAGCAGAGTGAGCACCGCCCTCCTCCAAGACTGAGGCATCACCCCGGTGACTGAGGCTTCCTCCAGCACCTCTCTGTAGTCCTCCCGTAGGGATAGCCAAAAAGCAGCGTAAAACTCACTCTCCTAGCCTCTCCACTGCTAGCTTGTTCACTCTCTCTCTTCTAGCCTCTCCACTGCTAGCCTGTTCTCTCTCTCACTCTGCTAGCTTCTCCACTGCTAGCCTTCCACTATATACTCTGCTAGCTTCTCCACTACTAGCCATCCGCTATATACTCTGCTAGCTATACTCTCTGCTAGCTTATCTACTGGTAGCTATTCTCTCTGCTAGCTTCTCTACTGCTAGCCTTCTCACACTCACACTTAGGATTCCGCTAGCATCCCTACTGCTAGCCTGTTCTATCCTCGTCTCTCCAACCTCACACTTGCCGCCAGTGCGGGTTTAGCCATCACCGCTGGAGAGGGCAAGGTGTGGAGTGCGGGGCTTGGGACTTCTGTTGTCTTTCCTCTTGTCTTCACTCCGACCAACTCAACAACTCTCTCTCACGCTCGCGTATAACACATTCCTGCGGAGGGAGCTGGTAGGAACGTTGAATTGCTCGGTCAATGGCCAGGGTCAACGGCGGCGTGGTTTATTCCGCAAATATGCCCGACTGTGAGGGCGGGCACAAGCCAGAGTGAGTAGGTTAAACGTTGAGTTTTATAAGGGCACCACGGGGTGACCAGCCCCTCCCCACCCAGCCCCTCCCCACCCTCCCCTCCCCACCCTCCCCTCTCCACCCAGCCCCTCCCTCCCCACCCTCCCCTCTCCACCCAGCTCCACCCCTCCCATTTTTGGATGCACGACGGACGGACACAATAATCCCCTGTGGGCTGGTGTAACCAGAGGTTCCTACCAGTATAACCCCTTTTCCTCATTAACTCCTCACGCCCGTGGCTTCCGCCGTTATTGTCTCAATCTCCCGTCAGCCTGGCGTCTGTTCCACGCCTGCATTTGCAGCCAGACAATCACCGCTATGCATCTTAATAAGCCGTCACCTTTCCGTTGCTCCCCCTCGCCGCACCTGGTCGCCCCGATGCGACCTCACTGTCCGTAACTTGCACATGCTTGCACACCGCTTGCAAACCCCCGTGCGCGTTATTCCACTACATTTGTGATGATGAGTTATGAGAACCTGCACAGGGGGTCTGTTTTAATTATAGTTCACCCACGACTCAGCGATTGGGTGTTGCTGTCGCGTCAGGGTAAAGCGCTGCTGTGAGCAGAAAAGAACAGCATGCGAGTCTGTGTGTGAGTCTGTGTGTGCTGGCTTGGAGTGAGGGTGAGTGAGTGTGCTGGCTTGGGGTGAGCTTGTGTGTGCCGGCTCAGGGTGAGGGTGAGTGTGTGGTGCCACGACCGTGGAGCAACTCCGCAAATGCCGCGATCCCCTCCCGGCCCCCGTACTAAACACACACCTGCATGCAGCACACCCACATAGTGTCCTGATGGGGGGTTGCCTGACGCATCGGGGTTTAATCCGAAGGGCCCTAGAGGGAGAGTCCCACGGTTTCCCGGTGCCAGAAGATTGGCCAACCCTCACAGAACAGGTTACATTGCGGTGCCCCTAAATTGGCTTAAAATTTTATGGGCGCAGGAAGGTTCCCTGGGCCAACCGCAATGAGGTACAACTCGGAGGAAGAACGGAGGACAGAACATTGAGCGGAAAAAGCGCGGGAGCCCTTCCAGACAAAGGGACAATGGGGAGTCGCCATCGCCCGCCAGCCGCAGCCGCCGCAGCACTCGAAAACGGACGGAGGGTGGCATATTAAGTAGGCAAAAGCGCGAGAGCCCTTTCAAACAAAGGAGCCACGGGGGGTCGCCGCCACCCGCCCAGCCGCCGCAGCACTCGAAGGGGGACAGAGGGCAGACACATAGACAATGGGTCGAAGCGTAATGGAAAATGACGGGGGGGTATGCGTGCATATTCATATCTGTCCGCTGCTTCTTTCTCTTTAGCGCAGGTACGCGCATATTCATACCGCCGCCGTTTCTTTTGTTCAGCGCCAGCCTTTGTGAGGGAAATACGCGCCTGCAGGGGCGCGCGCGCGCGTGCACGCCTCTGCATTCGTTTATGTGGTGGTGTAATCTGAGCGCGCGTGAGATAACCCCGGGTGGTGGTGAGCCAGCCGAGTAGCGATGTCCCTCAGCGCGGGGGGGGGGGGGGGCGATCACTCGATCGGGGGGGGCCCGGCGAGAGGCGGCTGACGAGGAGGAGGGGGGAGTGGAGGGGGTGGACGTCGCGCCCCACCCGCTCACGGGGAGCGGGGAGGTGGACGTCGGCCACCACAAGTTCACCGGCTCAGAGTGAGGAGGATGTGGGAGCTGCTGGGCTCCCTGCTGCTGCTGCTGTGCGCCGCGTGCTGCGCCCTGTGGGTGCTGCGGCGGCGCACGCGCTCCGCACTCGACGCCTTCCCGGGACCGCCCGCGCACTGGCTCTACGGGCACACGCACCTGGTGAGTGGTGAGCGTGTGGTGAGGACACTGGCTCTACGGGCACACGCACCTGGTGAGTGGTGAGTGTGTGGTGAGGACACTGGCTCTACGGGCACACGCACCTGGTGAGTGGTGAGTGTGTGGTGAGGACACTGGCTCTACGGGCACGCGGACCTGGTGAGTGGTGAGTGTGTGGTGAGGACACTGGCTCTACGGGCACACGCACCTGGTGAGTGGTGAGTGTGTGGTGAGGACACTGGCTCTACGGGCACACGCACCTGGTGAGTGGTGAGTGTGTGGTGAGGACACTGGCTCTACGGGCACGCGCACCTGGTGAGTGGTGAGTGTGTGGTGAGGACACTGGCTCTACGGGCACGCGGACCTGGTGAGTGGTGAGTGTGTGGTGAGGACACTGGCTCTACGGGCACACGCACCTGGTGAGTGGTGAGTGTGTGGTGAGGACACTGGCTCTACGGGCACGCGCACCTGGTGAGTGGTGAGCGTGTGGTGAGGACACTGGCTCTACAGGCAGACGCACCTGGTGAGTGGTGAGTGTGTGGTGAGGACACTGGCTCTACGGGCACGCGCACCTGGTGTGTGGTGAGCGTGTGGTGAGGACACTGGGTCTACGGGCACACGCACCTGGTGAGTGGTGAGTGTGTGGTGAGGACACTGGCTCTACGGACACACGCACCTGGTGAGTGGTGAGTGTGTGGTGAGGACACTGGCTCTACGGGCACACGCACCTGGTGAGTGGTGAGCGTGTGGTGAGGACACTGGCTCTACGGGCACACGCACCTGGTGAGTGGTGAGTGTGTGGTGAGGACACTGGCTCTACGGGCACACGCACCTGGTGAGTGGTGAGTGTGTGGTGAGGACACTGGCTCTACGGGCACACGCACCTGGTGAGTGGTGAGTGTGTGGTGAGGACACTGGCTCTACGGGCACGCGCACCTGGTGAGTGGTGAGCGTGTGGTGAGGACACTGGCTCTACAGGCAGACGCACCTGGTGAGTGGTGAGTGTGTGGTGAGGACACTGGCTCTACGGGCACGCGCACCTGGTGTGTGGTGAGCGTGTGGTGAGGACACTGGGTCTACGGGCACACGCACCTGGTGAGTGGTGAGTGTGTGGTGAGGACACTGGCTCTACGGGCACACGCACCTGGTGAGTGGTGAGTGTGTGGTGAGGACACTGGCTCTACGGGCACGCGCACCTGGTGAGTGGTGAGCGTGTGGTGAGGACACTGGCTCTACGGGCACGCGCACCTGGTGAGTGGTGAGTGTGTGGTGAGGACACTGGCTCTACGGGCACACGCACCTGGTGAGTGGTGAGTGTGTGGTGAGGACACTGGCTCTACGGGCACACGCGCCTGGTGAGTGGTGAGTGTGTGGTGAGGACACTGGCTCTACGGGCACACGCACCTGGTGAGTGGTGAGTGTGTGGTGAGGACACTGGCTCTACGGGCACGCGCACCTGGTGAGTGGTGAGCGTGTGGTGAGGACACTGGCTCTACGGGCACGCGCACCTGGTGAGTGGTGAGTGTGTGGTGAGGACACTGGCTCTACGGGCACGCGCACCTGGTGAGTGGTGAGCGTGTGGTGAGGACACTGGCTCTACGGGCACGCGCACTTGGTGAGTGGTGAGGACACTGGCTCTACGGGCACGCGCACCTGGTGAGTGGTGAGCGTGCGGTGAGGACACTGGCTCTACGCGCACCTGATAAGTGTGTACTGTGTATGTAGTGTGTATGTAGTGTGTCATTACTGTGTATGTAGTGTGTGTATATTGTGTATGTAGTGTGTGTACTGTGTATGTAGTGTGTGTGTACTGTATGTAGTGTGTATATTGTGTATGTAGTGTTTGTGTACTGTGTATGTAGTGTGTGTACTGTGTATGTAGTGTGTATGTAGTGTGTATGTACTGTGTATGTAGTGTGTGTGTACTGTGTATGTAGTGTGTGTGTACTGTGTATGTAGTGTGTGTGTACTGTGTAGTGTATACTGTGTATGTAGTGTTTGTGTACTGTGTATGTAATGTTTGTGTACTGTGTATGTAGTGTTTGTGTACTGTGTATGTAGTGTGTGTATATTGTGTATGTAGTGTGTGTACTGTGTATGTAGTGTGTATATTGTGTATGTAGTGTGTGTATATTGTGTATGTAGTGTGTGTGTACTGTGTATGTAGTGTGTGTATATTGTGTATGTAGTGTTTGTGTACTGTGTATGTAGTGTGTGTGTACTGTGTATGTAGTGTGTATGTAGTGTGTGCGTACTGTGTATGTAGTGTTTGTGTACTGTGTATGTAGTGTGTATGTTGTGTATGGAGTATGTGTACTGTGTATGTAGTGTGTGTATATTGTGTATGTAGTGTGTGTACTGTGTATGTAGTGTGTGCACTTTCCGTGTACCGCACGTCCACCAGACGCGTGTTCACAGTGCCGCGCGTGCGAGCTTAAGGGGCAGCCGGCCTCGTCCGGCCACGTGAGGCCGATTGACGTTGGCTCCTGGCCACAGCCAACACCAATAGCGAGCGATACTTGGACCCGTCCTCTGGATATATTCAGCCGTGGCACAGGCAAACTCGTTGCCTGGCTCGGTGGTAGCTGCTGGTGGCTCGGCGCTGCCTGTGTGCTCTCTCGTTGCGTGGCCTCGTGTGCGCGGTACATTCGCCCCAAGGCTACACAACGGCACACGGAGGCTGTACTACACACAGCTCTATGGGAACCTGCTGACGCATAGGGCACTCAATACGCGAGCAGCACTTGTGGCTGAGAACCCCTGCGACACTGGCGGCGCTGGTAAAGGAGTTTAATGGAACAAAAACTTGCCTCGTTGTTTCAACTGCCGCGCCGGGAGATCAGGATTGAACCGGTGCCCTCTAGGTTGATTGCAGGTCCATTGTGCTTACCATTGTAATACACCGCGGCGCATTCATGGTGTCTACGCAGGAAACATGCAGTCTACATTAGTGTATTGCTTAATCACATCAGCTTGCATGGCTGTGTGAAGATGGTTAAGGGGTTAGGTGCTTTGTGTGGGATTGGAGGGGTCACCCCTCGTGTGTCGTGCCGGCCTTCAAATATACCCCCTAACAGCACTTGCCCCAACAGTCTGTTCAAGGCTATACAGGGGGTGTTTGTATTTGTTTTGTATGTGTTTGTGTGCAGCTTCCAGATGACGAGCAGTGGCTGCGGAATCTTTTGAAGCTGTTCCGCGAGTATCGCTACGTGTTTCCCATGTGGCTTGGTCCGTTCACAGCAACATTGCAAATCAGTCACCCGGACTATGCCAAAGCCATCATCAGCACTGCAGGTAAAACGGCTCGCGAGGGACAGGGAGCAGCGTGACCGCTCTAGCACTGACAGAACACGATCGGCCAGAAACACTCCTGCTACTCTCAACTCTCTTTTGCACACACAAACTAGAGTGTATTCGTATCTATGGGACCCTTTTTACCGATATCAAAATTCTGGGGAAAAAAAAGGCTTCATCCTTTCCGGCAATAATACAGGATGTGTAAAGATGTTTAAACAGACATGTATTGCAAGGATGCAAATCAGCATTAACCAGACATCATGCTTGTGGTAAGAAATGCAAGTATCCTTTCATTACAATGTACGTATTGATTGGCTAAACCAGAGACTATGGGACCCTTTGTGTCGGAATTAAAATGATTAGTGGCAGGGCATACGTTCCCTGCAGGAAGACGCAGGGCCAGTGAACTAGACACCGATACACAGACACGACAGGGACACGGTCTTAGTGTAGTAATTGGAGAGCTTAGTAATATAAATAAATATTTTACATGATGTCTGATAGACTATGCATATTTTACAATTATCTTTTGGGTAATTGTACAATTTGGGATGTATAGCTACAACACGAGCCCACATTGACCAACTCGTGAGTAATGTGACATGGCTTGTGACGTCCACTTCCTAGGAAACGGCATCCCTTGTGAAGGACTTGACAGTCCACGTGTGTATGAACACAGTGTCGGATCTAGGTGGACAATACGCCAGATACACAAGGCCTCGCAGACATAAATTGCGTAACCCGCGATGTAAGCACATTCGTCCACGGATCTGATTCAGTGAAACACCATCGGTATTTTGCGTCTTGTCTTGAGCCTTGGGATGGGATGCCGTTGTGGCGAGATATTCACTTGCTCACCTAGTATACAGGAGGTCGTGGCTTCGATCCAGACCCTGATGCCTGCTGTATATTTGGAGTTTCTATGTCTTTCTTTCTCTTCGTGGTCGTGTGGATTTTTCTCCGAATCCTCCAGTTTTCCCCTCCACATTAAGAATCAACATGCGTTTCGGGTATTTGGCTGCTGTAAATTTCCACGTGATAATTCTAGATTTGAAGCTTTCGTAACTGCAAGGATCCATACTCTTTGGTTCTATTCGGTAAAGTCGTGTATTTTTTTACCTACGTGACTTTACCGAATAGAACCAAAGAGTATGGTTCCACGTGATAAGCCACTTCGTTGAGCTATTATTTTTTGCCAGGTCACATGAAAATGAGCTATGTAGCTTAGTGGGCCTTACCTGATCAAATAAAACATAGTTTATTCTTGGTTCTTTCGGTAAAGTCACGTTGAAGGGAAACAATAAAATTATAAAATATATATAAAACAATAAAATAAAATTTATTGTTTTATATATATTATTGTTTTATATATATATTTTAAGTATGGTTCCACGTGATATGGTTCCACGTGATAAGCCACTTCGTTGAGCTATTATTTTTTGCCAGGTCACATGAAAATGAGCTATGTAGCTTAGTGGGCCTTACCTGATCAAATAAAACATAGTTTATTCTTGGTTCTTTCGGTAAAGTCACGTTGAAGGGAAACAATAAAATTATAAAATATATAAAACAATAAAATAAAATTTATTGTTTTATATATATTATTGTTTTATATATATTTTAAAACAGTAGTAATTTCTGTGACCAGTCACTAGCTAATCACTCAGTTGTTTCAATGCTGGATTCGCCTAGTTATTTCAATGCTAAATTCTCCTGTTTGATTTGTACTAAGGGCCTCGGTGAATGTGTATGCTCTGACTTTAACGTAGCTATTTCTGCAGCAGGTACAAGCTAACCACTCAGCTATCTCAATGCTAAATTCTATGCTAATTCCATTGTCAAGATGTGTATGCAGCTATTTCAATGCTAAATTCTATGCTAATCCCTTTAACAATGGGTGCCTCTGCGGGTGTGTATGCTTTAACTTTTAACATAGCTATTTCTGTGACCAGTCACAAGCTAATCATTCAGCCATTTCAATGCTAAATTCTATGCTAATTCCTTTGTCAAGGCGCTTTGTTCCTCTCACACAGCTTAAAGGCCCTATCTGAACGTGGCTCTTTCACTCCAGCGCTGTCCTACCAGACAGTCTCGCCCCCTTCACCTGATGAAGGCCGCTTGTGTTGTGGCCGAAACGTCGTGAGAATATTATTGTGTTATTTTATTTTATCAATTTATGATTTTATTATCATTCTACGTGACTTTACCGAAAGAACCAAAGAAGATGGTACAACATTCTTGTGGGTACTGTGTGTACTGTACACGCTACTCGGCAGGCAGCTGTTTCGCTTTGTACGCCCTTTTTTAACACATCAACCGCATAAAGTGAGGGAAACATGCACTTTACACAGTCCTAGCAGACAGTCTCGTCCCTTCACCTGATGAAGGCCGCTTGTGTTGTGGCCGAAACGTCGTGAGAATATTATTGCGTTATTTTATTTTATCAATTTATTATTTTATTCTCATTCTACGTGACTTTACCGAAAGAACCAAAGAAGACTTTACACAGTGTTATACATTTTGGAGCCTGGTAAACAAAGGACACGACTTCATCTTCTGCGAAAGGTATGGACATGTGAGCAAGCCCATAGGGTGGTTAAAGTAAATTTTTGTTACTTTGGATATTCCTGTGTTTGTTGTACGCACCTCATGTGTGTTTTTGTTCAGAACCGAAGACTGACCTCGGATATGCATTCATCATTCCATGGATCGGTGAGTTTACAAATCCTGCAAGACACACGAGATACCACTCGACAAATTCACTGGAGGCAGCAGACCAGCATCAGAAATGCATTTAGCCTCACCTGAAGCCGTCATGTGACTTTCAAACTTTGATATACAGCAATCCCTCGCCGGGTTGCTGGAAAATGCCACGGTAGGCAAATCCGCGGTTGGTAAAGTACAGGGCCTATGGGAAATAGGGGGTTAGGGGAACCACAGCTACAGTCAGACTTGTCAGAGCTTAACTACATACCCCTTATCAGTGCGTACTAGTCCATGGGCCCAGACCAAAAAAATCACTTATTGGTACCACCTCAGGTGGCAAAGTCTCGTAATGATTTTTGTAATCCTTCATGTGTGTGGGACATATTCTGATATAACCTTTGCGGAGTGGCAGCTTAGTTGTAGTTACCATGACTTTTATACCCATACCCTATGACAAGCGTCCGGAACGATGAAATAAGCATTATTACTGAAAAAACTACCTAGACCAAAGCCAGTTAGGTCACACACTGGTCTTTATTGGTTTAAATACACAATGAAAACAGGATAATAAGGAATACCATAGTGAGGTAAGGCACTACTTGAATATTATAAACATTGACATTCGCATATACTTAGTCAATGATATATGTAATCCCATATATATCGTTAGGTGATGAGAATATGTGAAGAAGGTTACATTATTGTTATCAAGCTCTGTGTGTACTTAGATGGTGTTAACAAGGGTAACCAAGTCCAGAATCACCACACTGTGCATCAATGTATACTACTACTACCACAGTAATACCATCAGAATCACCACCCTGTGTCAGTTATCAAACTGCTCGTCTATCTCGCCATCTGACTCCCCGAGTTCAAAGTCAGGCTCTGGATCATCCTGCAGTTTTTGGTTACTGCAGGTCTGTAACATGCACATGTCTGTGCATGGCAGTCCGTTTGACAGGCACGTGCAGCTTGGCATTTTGTATGAACGCACGCACTTGCATGCTAGCAGTTCCAAGACCTCACCTGGTGCGGATGGGGAGCGCATCCAGTACATGGCCAGCTTGCCATCATCGTCTGTCCATCTATACTTAGTAGGGCTTGGCACCACAGGGTTAGCCTGCAGACAGCACTTCCAGATTGCTGCCCGATAGTTGGCTCTTTGAACATGCATGAAGAGAGAGTCTCTACATGGTGGCAGCTGGCTGGACTCCACTTCCCTTTTGGTGCAGAAGAGCTGGTAGCGCAGTTCATTCACCTCACCAGTGCTGCTATTAGCAACATACATGCGACAGATGAACTGCTCAATTTTCTGGAACAGCTCATCACTCACATTCCATGACTGCCCCAGTCGACTAAAAGTGTATTGGCAGGAAGTTTCCTTTCTCACCATCTTCGGGGCATTCAGCTTCCCTCTACCGGCGAATGCACTGAGAGTGTCGCAGCTAGTGAAGGCGTGTAAGCCAATTAGGTTGTCAGTTTGTTGATATCGACAAACTGTATGCGGTTCTGTGCCCCACACTTCTGGTAGATGGGACAGGTGATGTCCTTCTGTACGCCAAGACAAAGCACCATGACATTAGTGTCCTCAGCTGTTATGATAACTACCTTTGAGCCCACATTTTCTGCATGCAATACATGCAGGAGCAGACGGGTGTCAGCTTCTTCATGCGTGGAGTGCAGCGCTGCTACTTCCTCACACTCATCTTCTGTCAACTTGTAGCAGGTTTCCTCACAGGTCATGTACAACACCTTACCGTGCAGTATCTCTCTGTATCGTGGGAATTTCCACTCTTCCACCAGACACTTGATGAGACTGATCTTGTTGGAGGGATTGCACAGGAATTTTCTCCATTTCTGGACGTGGTGTCCCCCTGCAAGGTTCTTGTACTGGATAGTGGTGTCTGCACCCCGGTTCAGTCGTTCAGCATCTTTGATCGAAGTCTGTCGGTAGACATAAAAAACAACATCAATTCTCTCTCTCTGTGCCCCATCGTGGAGGACCTGGGTCAAGGCTGACTCTCCCACCTATGAAAATGTTTTGTTGTTGACATTCATTTTTTGGACCAGGCTCATCTGATTAATGATGGAAGTAGATGGGGTTGGGATGTTTTCTGCAGGAGACACCATTCTTCCAAGTTCTCTGGCAAGCGCACCCTTGTTTGTATTTCGTAGGGACCCATCAGCATTTACCAGTGCCCATGGCAGTGGGCCCAGTGGGTAGGCAAGAACATCCTTCATATTCACTTTCCTGCTTTCAGCCACCAGGATCATGTGGCTGAACAGGTTTCTATCTGCCTTCAGAACCACATAATGTGCTTTCTTTCTACTGTATGTGCTGTTTTTGTGCCGATATTGGAGAATGTCTTCAGACTTTGCTTGGTCATCTTGTCGTGGAATTTCACAGATGGTGGGTCCTCAGCTAACCTTGTTTGCTTGACTACCTGGTAGGCCTCTTCTATCTCAAGAGCTCTCAATAGATCCCTAGTCACATCAGGTGGAGCCATGGTGCCAGTGGAGAGGCTAACCAGATCTGTCTCATCAGGGGACATAGGATTGATCCAGTTATTCTCCATAAGGTCAATGAGAGACTGGACATCTGCTTCATCTCTCTTGATCCTTGGACCCTGTAGATCTGGATAGGACAGTTTGGACCTGCCTTGACCTATCAGGTCTCTCAGCTGTCTGAGGTACATGCTTCTGTACTCAGCTGTTAGGCAATGTTTAGTCACGGTTCCTGGCTTCAAGTTGAATCCCTTTGTCCCTCGAGCTGTCTGGGTGTCTTTGTTCACCGGTTCTTCTATAGCTTAGTCAACAGGGATTCGGCCAAAGGGATTGGTAGAGCCCAGTTGAACTGAGAAGCCTCCTTCCATGAATTCCGTGTACACATCTGGATGTGTGATGGACAGCCGAGACATCTGAACATAGTAATAGGGGAGGTAGCATGCATAATCCATCCTATCAAAAGCGAAGCACCATGAGATCATAGTTCGAATGCTTGCCAAGTTTAGCATCCAGCCTCCCTCTTTGGATGCTCGGATGAGCCCCAACAAGATTTCAACCATGTTCAAATAGGACATCTAGAAGCTCGAGAGTCTGCCGTTTCCACCCCTTAGGAACTTGCGGTAGACTTCAAACAGTTCCATGATGCGTGTACCTGAGCTGTTCTCGAGGACCTCCTTCAAAATGGCTTGAGACTTCTTTCCCAAGGTTGTGAATGGTCCTCAGTGTCTCATCCAGGTGAACCATGGTTATTTCTTAAAATGCGGAGACAAATTGCGATGAAAGGTGCAAAAAAACGCTAATTTAATGCTTTGTTTACTTGGCGAAGTTTGCATAAAATCGTAAAAACGAACTTTTTGTAAAATATAAAGGTAAATTTGTGAATGTGTGTCTGTTCCAAATGTTTAGCATACTTCCCAACATGCAACAAACTTGACATTTGCCATATGGGTAGTTTCCAGACTGTACACAATGCAAAAAGTATAAAAATATACTTTTGTATTGGGGGGGGGGGGGCGCAATAATGGATATATTGCACAAGTGAGCGGTGATGTCACATCTGTGATGTCACCCGCATACTGCAGCGTTACGCAGTGTGCCTGCTGACGTCACGCATCCCCCCCCCACAACCCTCCCCGTAGGCCGTGTATCCCGCACAAATGCGCGGCTGGGGGGGGGGGGGGAAATAATGGATATAATCTACTTGGCTACAAACTTAAAATTTGGCACGTGGCTATCTTCCATACTGCACACAATGTAAAAAGTAGAAAAATCAACTTTTTTTTTTGGGGGGGGGGGAATAATGGATATAATTTATTGCATGACAAGTGAGTGGTGACGTCACATCTGTGATGTCACCCGCATGCGGCAGCGTTACGCAGTGTGCCTGCTGACGTCACGCATCCCCCGTGTAAGAATCCAAGACAAGAATCCAAGTCCCGGGCGAAGCCTGGTAGTAAAGCTTGTAAAATATAAATAGTAGTGGGTACAACTCGAGGAGAGACGGTTCTTTAGAGGCAACACAAAGGGCTAACGGCCCCTTCCACCCAATACCTGGGGAGGTACAGCCTCCGGGCTATCGTGCCCTCTATCACTGGGACCACTCTATATCTCAGCCCTCCGGCTAGGGGGACCTAGGGGAGGCTAGCCTGACCCGACCCAGCCAAGGTCCTCGGGTCCCGGCCACTGGCCCGCTCGGTCCCGGCCCTTAGAAGGACGTTGGGTCCGGGGGTTTCCCAGGGTCCTATTCTAGGCAGGCTCTTCGGGTCTTCAGCTTGACGACGACTTCCCGGACCCGTTCAGAGGTCCGCCTTTTATACTTGCTCCAGAGTCTCTCTGCCCCTAGCCACACCTTCCTTCTGGAACTTTCTAGGGGATCCTGGAACATGACGGCATCCCCCCAGCCCCCCCCTTGGGTCATGGGTCGCTGGTGGCGCAAGAGCCCGATTCATCCCACCTAGCCTTCTACCACCTCCTGTTGACACATGTCCGCTACTGCAGGTAAGGTTAATGGTGAATACGCATACAGCCTAACAATGGCACTATAGTTGTGTGCATGTTATGAAAGTTTACAATTTATAGAAACAAAATATGAAAAACATACAAATTTACAAACTGAACAAAAATAATTAGTTTTGCCTGGAGTGCCTAGCCTTAAATAATAATATTAACAGGTACATTAACAATACATTGAAGTTTGATTTAAAGCTTTCGTGACTGCAGGGATTCATATTCTTGGTTCTTTCGGTATAGTCACGTAGAAGGGAAATAACACACGCAGTCATCAGTAGTGGCATCGGGGGCTGCTGTTGTTAACCTGAAGACACCACGTAACTCCGTCGAAGACAAGACCCGGACCCGAGTCGGGGTCCAGTCTTGACAGCCTCCTGCAGTTGTGTTAGGGCTAGTGAGCCCGGAGGGACTCCGTCTGTAGGTTACCTGGTGGAAGGGGCAGATACCCCTTTGTGTTAGGATGTTGATGTTGTTATAATAAACGTGTTGCCTCCAGAGAAGCCTATCTCTCCATTTGTACCCACTACACATATCTTTAATATTAACGATGATGATGACAATGAGATGTCGTGGCGGAAGGGGTGGTTAGAAGTAGGGGCTCAGCCCACCCTCCCCCTCTTCCTCTGGGCCACAGACGCAACACTCTCACTTTCGCGACTCGCTGCATGCACGCTTCGGATCCATGATCAAGGGCACAATTAACTTGAATGTAGTTGCCATGCGACGGCCGGTCTCTGCTCTGCAAGAATCACAGTACAATCGACATGCAGCTGATCAGCTTCGCAGCGCCATGGGTGGTGCTGCGAAGCGTGAAGAACCACAGTCCCGCAAAATTTGTAACAATGAAGTCACGCAATGGCGTGTTACCAACGTCATGTGAGTCACTTAACACCTTGCTTACCCGTGGATACTTCAATTTACAAGCCATGGTTGGTAAATTGGTATACAACTAATAAACCGTGTGTGCATGAAATCGCGGTTGTTAAGCGGTTCCTGTAATAGATATTGAAGTTGCTCTTCACTCAGGCACATGAAAGAGAAGACATTGGTGTCCTGAAATTCATACATGAACTATTTCAAAATGTTGAACAGTATCAACATTTTCCATGAACAGATATTGTGTGGGGAGCAGTGATATCGTGGTTAATGCACTATGCTATGATTCCCATAACTTGGATTAAATATCCTGTCATGCATATCATTGTCAGGAGCTGTTTGCACTAACCGCAAGCATCCAGACTGTCTAAACTAGGCTGGTAAACCAGACCCGGCCAACACACGTCATATCTTTATGTACACACACAGACTCAGCGAGTACACTTCCATCTACACCGACACACACACTGACCCAGCGAATACACCCCCATCTACACCGACACACACACTGACCCAGCCAGTACACCCCAATCTACATCGACACACACACACTGACCCAGAGGGTACACCTCCATCTACACCGACACACACTTGTAGTGGAGTAACGCGCATGGGGTTTTGAAAACAGTATGCATGCACGTGTGAGCCGCGGACAGTTAAGTCACGCCAGGACAACCAAGTGCGGTGTGAGGCAATCCAGAGAGAGACGACCAATTAGAATGCATAGCGGTGATTGGCTGGCTGCAAATGCAGACACGGTGTAGGCGCCTCGGAGTCTGCAGATTGAGGCGATAGCAGCGGACGCCACGTGCGAGAGGCGACGGGAGGACGCCAGCTTGATTAGGGCGTTTAATGAGGAGCAAGATAAATACGGAACTTGTGAGGCAGGGGGGAGAGTTGGTTGGAGCAAAGAGAAGAGCGAACACAAGAGAAGACCAAGGCCCCACTCTCGACACCTCGTCCTCTCCAGCGGTGATGGCTGAACCCCCACTGGAGGCAAGGGCGAGGTTGTAGAGGCGAGGGTAGTAAGGCTATCAGTAGAGAAGCTAGCAGAATCCTAAGTGTGAGTGTGCGAAGACTAGCAGTAGAGAAGCTAGCAGAGTATATAGCGAGAGGCTAGCAGTGGAGAAGCTTGCAGAGTATATAGTGGAAGGCTAGCAGCGTATATAGCGAGAGGCTAGCAGTGGAGAAGCTTGCAGAGTGTATAGTAATAGGCTAACAGTGGAGAGGCTAGCAGAGTGTACGGTGGGAAGCTACCAGAGTGTGTAGTGATAGGCTAGCAGTGGAGAGGCGAGCAGAGTGAGAGAGCACAGAGAGCGGAGCGAGCGGAGCGTGGCAGGCAGGCTAGCAACGGAGAGGCCAGCAGAGTGAGAGAGAGCAGGCTAGCAGCGGAGAGGCTAGGAGAGTGAGAGAGAGAGCAGGCTAGCAGTGGAGAGGCAGGGAGAAAGAGAGCGAAGCGAGCGGAGCGAAGCAGGCGAGCAGCACAAGCGGGAGAGTTGCAACGAAGTTAGGGGCCGTCCATAAATGACGTCATGCACGGGGGGGGGGGTTGAGAAATGTGACGTGACATCAAAATGCGCAACTTTAAATAAATATAGAATTGTTATAACAATACTAATTGTTATAACAACACTCCTACAACATCAGAGTGCAGCGCCACATTAAATTCGCACTACAAGGATAATAGTTTAAAGCGATTTGAACCATGTTTTATTTTCAAAATGGAAATATGGTTGGGGGGGGGGGCAGAGCTTTGTGACGTCATATTTGAGGGGGGTCTGACTTTTTGTGACGCCGTGTGACGAGGGGTGGGTCAAAAATCGTCCAAAATTGCGTGATGTCATTTATGGACGGCCCCTTACGTGGTGCTGAACGTGAGGAGTTCTGTTCGAATAAAAGTGACAGGAGAAAAAAAAAGTTGTCCTTGTGAAATCACAGCACTACACACTGACCCAGCCAGTACACCTCCATCTACACCTACACACACACTGACCCAGCCAGTACAACTCCATCTACACCTATACACACACTGACCCAGCCAGTACACCTCCATCTACACCTACACTGACCCAGCCAGTACACCTCCATCTACACCTACACACACACTGACCCAGCCAGTACACCTCCATCTACACCTACACACACACTGACCCAGCCAGTACACCTCCATCTACACCTACACACACACTGACCCAGCCAGTACACCTCCATCTACACCTACACACACACACTGACCCAGCCAGTACACCTCCATCTACACTGACACACACACTGACCCAGCCAGTACACCTCCCATCTACACCTACACACACACACTGACCCAGCCAGTACACCTCCCATCTACACCTACACACACACACTGACCCAGCCAGCACACCTCCATCTACACCTACACACACACACTGACCCAGCCAGCACACCTCCCATTTACACCGACACACACACACTGACCCAGCCAGCACACCTCCCATCTACACCTACACACACACACTGACCCAGCCAGCACACCTCCATCTACACCTACACACACACACTGACCCAGCCAGCACACCTCCCATTTACACCGACACACACACACTACTTGCCGCATCACCGTAATCATCAAACTGACCTTCTAACGTTGTGTTACTTGTGGACAGGATTGGGTCTCCTCACCTCATCTGGTCCAAGGTGGTTCCAGCATCGCCGCATGCTCAGCCCCGGCTTCCACATGGAGATTTTGAAGCCCTACGTGTCTCTCATGGTGGAGAGCACCCAAGTGCTCATCGTAAGCTCACGCAGTTGTCACACACGCCGTGGGCACTTACCCTGCAGTAGCCATGGCAAGGATTATGGTTCTTAGTACTGCACTTTGGACGGTGCTCAATCCAAATGTGTAATTTTAGTATTCCCACCCCCAAACATTAATGTTGATTTCCTGTTGAGTTGCAATTGCTTTTTCGCTTCCAACGTGGATCAGTGTGGACTCATTATTTTGATTCAGTTATCATTTACAAGTCTCACTGGGCAGCCAAGGAAAACAGTTTATGGTTTAAACTAGATTCGAAGCTTTCGTGACTGCAGGAATTACTCTTTGGTTGTGTCGGTAAAGTGACATAGAAAATCAAATCAAATAATAGAATACGACGTTTCAATTGCAACACAAGCAACCATCATCAGGTAAGAATGAATGATGAAAAACACAGACACGGAAACAACATCCTCCGTCTTCTGCATGACGGTATGAAGGCTGTCATCCTATCAGGTGGTGAAACCACAGAGTCGATCAAGGTAAGAACTGGTGTGAAGCAAGCATGCTTTATTGCACCAATCCTTTTCTCTATCTTCCTGGTGGGAATGCTTCATCTGACAGAGAGCAGACTCCCCTGAGGCATATAGGACAGACAGGAACTAATTCCACATCAACCGTTTCAGAGCCAAGTCGACAACCTCAATCACATTCCAATATGTAGATGATGCCTGCTCATAAGCTGACCTTCAGGCCATCGTCAACATATTGATAGAAGCTTACAGCAGGGTGGGTTTAACACTCATTACCAGCAAAACAAAGATCCTCTTCCAACAAGCTCCAGGAGCACACCTACCACCCCCGAAAATCACTACTAACAATCCAATACTGGAAAACATTCCCAGTTTCCCATACTTAGACAGCCATCTCTCCAGCAATGTCTCAATTGACGATGAAATGCAACATCGGATTGCTATAGCTAGTGTTGCCTTTCGCAAGCTTAGAAACAGGGGCTTTGAAGACCACGACATTACCACCAAGACCAAAGTGGTTGTTTATAATGTTGCTTTCATTCCTACCCTGTTATACGGTGCAGAACCCTGGACCTCCTATTGCAAACACATCAAATCCCTCGAAAAGTGTCATCAACGCTGCCTCAGGAAAATACTAAACATCAGCTGAGAAGAAAGACAAACTAACATAAGTATCCCGGAGCGATCGAACTCATCCAGTACAGAATCCACCATAATGAAGCACTAACTCGGATGGGCAGGTCACCTCGTCAGGATGAATGACTCAAGGCTTTCTTAGCAAATCTTCTTTTCCCAGCTCAGGGATGGATCCAGTCCCCCTGGAGGTCAAAAGAAGCGTTATCACAACCTTAAAACACACCTCAAGCAAAGCCATATGGACCAAAACAACTGGGAAATCTATGCCCTTGATAGACCATCGTGGAGGTCCAAAGTCAACAATGGAACACAACACTTTAAAGCCGAACCAAAATATTTGATAGCTGGGAAAAAAGCATGCTTCAAAGAACATACACATACACCGGAGACAGAGGCAACACGTCTGAGCTCCAGGATGAACTATCCCTGTCCCCACTGCATCAAGATCTGCAGGTCTTGGATCAGCCTGTTCAGCCACCTTTGGACTCATGGCCAGCCAGGCCCAACTCACAACCTGGACAAGTGACACCTGGAGGGAAATCATACTCGACTACGAGGGATCCTAGAAGGAAAATAACAAAGCCGCAATACAAGGCCCATCTGGAGTGGTCGAGGGGGAGGTGGTGGGAGGAATAAGGAGGGAGGAGAGAAGGGGATGGTGCAAGAAGTCAAATAAGAGAGTTGTTTGGGGAGGAAGAATACCCTGCGCTGCTCTGCCCGTGTAAGGATACGCGTTGTCCTGGCGCCAGAGATGCAGGACCAGCATTACCACGCCGCTCTGTCCAGCGACCAGCTGCTTCAGGCGAGACTCCATCGACACTGTCCTCCATTCACCCTTGGTCCCCGTCGAATCTCCTGGATCTCCCGGCACCCCATCATCTTGCCTGGGGTCAGGAAATCCCACCTCCTCCCTCTGATGTGGGTCCACAGTTTGAATGGGCAAAGCAGTTTTGAGTGCAGCCCATCCCTGTTCAACAGGCCACTTTGCAGGGGAAAAAGTAGGTTCCTCTTTTTCGAGTCTTCCAGGTTAAGGTCAGGGACTATGAGAATCCGGTTTTCCTCTATTTGAGTACCTTTACCCCTTGAAATTATTGCCATCTTTAACGCATCCGCAGCACAATGTTGATTAGAGAAGAGAATTAACAGAGGGCAGTGTCACGGGTTGCCTGCATACATGGAGCCTTGCCCCTCTTTCCTTCCAACCCAGTAGGCCTGAATCATCCAGTCTGAATGTTGGTGGACTGGAGTCTTGGGGTTAGCTATCACAGAAGGTGCTTTCTGATGTAGTTGAGGACTCCTAGGGAAACTGTGATCTCCCCGCTCTGTGACACCAAAGACCTTGAGTTGGTTTTCTCGGCTCTCGGCATCTAGTTGAATGCATCCTCTATGGCGTTGTGTTTTGCTAAACTCCCCCTGTTCCTCTAGTGCCACCTGGAAATATGTCATCATAGAATCTTGCTTCTCCACTCTCTCGCTGATGCCACTTAACTTTTTGTTGAGGACTCGGAATAGGTTGGTCTTTTCCTCCGTAAGTTGACTAATCTTCCGGGTATATTGGGAAAGGTTATTGACTTTTTTTTAGAAGAGCTTGTAGCATCCCAGTTCGGACCCCTCATGGAGTTCCTCCATGAGGGGTCTCGGTCTTTCCTTAATTGGGGAGATGAGTGGAGAAGAGACCTTAGATTTTTTGCGCAGGGCTCTTTCCGCCATTGAGTACGTGAAGGATGGGGCAGACTAGCACAGGCCTCGGCTTCAGTTTCACGAAGCAGGCCCGAATCCAGAAGCCCAGGTTTTCTGTGCAGATGGGAAGGCATCTTTAAAGTCCGGGTTGCCCCTCTGGTGCTGTAAGGCTAAATAATAGGGTAAGTTAAAAAAGCAAACCAAAAAAACATTTGTAACCTAATATATTGAGTCGAAGAGGTCTGTTTTAGGGCTTCTCACTCACAAAAATACGTTAAAGGCTATATGAGGATGTTTTGTCTTTCACTTGCATCAAACAGGACAAATGGGAGAAGAGGATCAAGACCCAGAACTTGTTCGACGTGTTTGAGGACATCAGCCTTATGATGCTGGACAGCATCATGAAGTGTGCCTTTAGCAACTGCAGCAGCTGCCAGACGGACAGGTGACTCAGCGGGGCACGCGGAGGCCGTGCAGAGCTGGAAGCACTGCGGCATGGGGCAGGGGCTCACAGGCCTTGACATTGGCATTCTGCTCCTGGACAAATGGCTGTTGCTATCGTGCAATACAATAGAGCACGAAAGAAAGCACCAAATTGAAAAGCATTTGTGTAATCAAGACACTTCTCACACCTGCAGCACGCAAATCTGATGTAGTTGTCATGCCCAGCGAGGCCTGGCAACGTCCTGGATAACTCCCAGTTAACCATTATCACCGGCTCAACGTCTCAGGTGCAAATGGCCTATTTTGAGTTGTATTCCCTGTGCCTCTGCCAAGTCCATGATCATCGTGATTGCATAATCCAGAATGATCTTGGCAAAGTGTGATGCATGACCTTACACTAATACATTAAGATGTTTCTACTCACTGCACAGACATCCACACGCCCAATTATCATGATCCAAGTTCTTAAATTACCTACAAATGTAATAGCAACCTGTGATTTCCCATAGCGATTCTCTTCAACCAAATCATATGTTTGCATATACGTCCAGAGGTCCTCCCCAAATTACCAGCCGTCTGTCACGTGCGCTAATAGCCACTGAGCGGCGTCTTGTAACTCGCGTGACCTCTCTCGCCCGTGCCCCGCTCTGGGTGGCCAGTGACAACTCCTACGTGTCAGCGGTGTTTGATCTCACGGAAATGGTGCACCGTCGGAGCCGGCTATTCCCGTACCACTTTGATGTCATCTTCAACCTGAGTCCACTGGGATTCCGCTTTCGCAAGGCGTGCAACGTCGCACACGAACACACGGGTATGGTGGACGCACAGGCATTCCGACTATCACGTGCACAGACTAAGAAATCCCGCTTCGCATGAAAAGACGATAGGGGTGAGGGTCACGGTGCAGTGTGCCAACGGCCGTGTCTCCACTCTACTCATAGACAGATTAATGATAAAAACCTTTGCCTTTATCTGCCAGAAATTAGGAACCCCTTAAACGTAGAGGGTGACCAGTGAAGTGCAGGTCACAACCCTGCGAATAGCCTGCGTCACAGAAGTCCAAGGGTAAATGTAGAATATTCTTCTTGTGCTTGTGTATACGTGTGCTGTTAATCAGCTAAAGTGATCAAAGAACGCAAGGAGGTTTTGCGTGGGGAAGAGGAACTGGAGAAGATCAAAGCAAAGCGGTACCTTGACTTCCTCGACATCTTACTCAGCGTGCGGGTGAGCGTCTGATCGTGAAGAGCGAAGATGGCATGGACATTGTGGCCTCTCGGTTGCGTGTAGGGTCACAATGGGTATGAATAATAATAATCTGCAACGACCGACTTCCCCACTTTTCAGGATGACAAGGGCAATGGGCTGACCGAGGAGGACATACAGGCCGAGGTGGATACCTTCATGTTTGAAGGCCATGACACTACAGCCAGTGGCCTGGCCTGGGCCCTAAATGCCATGGCTCACAACCCTCACCACCAGGATGCTTGCCGTGCCGAGGTCACAAGCCTGCTTGCAGGCCGAACCTTCCTCACCTGGTGAGAGGTTTGGGATGCGACATGGAAAGCACTCTGCACACACTCAAGTTAAGAGAACACAAAGCTTATTTCTAGCTGATTTTATGAATCAATTGTGTAGTGACTTGGAGCTTCACTACCGTGTGGGCCTACACACACACATGCACGCGTGACGTCACTACGCGGGGGAGCGTCACTACTACGCGGGACCACACACACACACATGACATCATCACGTCTGGTTGCGGGAATGACGTCACGGCCGGTTCGGGGGTCTGGAGGCCGTGGGTCAGTACCACGGGGGTTGTGTGAGGCCGTGGCACTCTGGGTGAACCCGGCTGGACACGTGACCGGATCAAAGTGGGGGCCCCGGGTGCCCTGGGGGCACCTTGGGGGCTACGTGGACAGGAGAAGAGTTTTCTCGAGAGTTCTCGAAGGTGGGCATGGATGGGGTGTGGCCTGGACACGCCGAGGCGAATATAAGCAGCCTCCGCATTGGGTTCGAGGATGCTCGTGTCCGGGATGAAGATGCCTCGTTAAGACGCCTCATGAAGAAGAGTCAAGCCTCAAGTCAGCGTGGCCAACCAGTAGTCCTCCTGGCTTGGCCACTCTTAGTCATATCAGAGAGTCAGTGTTAGCGAGTATTAGCAAGTGATGGTGTGTGTTAAGGATTGGTCGGTGGTCACCACCCTATGTTAAGAGTTACCATTGTGTAGATAATAAATAATGTTGCCTCCCAAGTTCCAGTGTGCGCCTGAAGTGAACCCATTACATTTAGTGTCGGAAGTGGCACACGCCTGAGTTTATTTACTTAGAGTGAGGTGCGATGATCACACGCCATAGGCAACCTACAAGGCATTCCTCAGGAGAAGAGGACGACGACAGAAATCTCGTCCCGCCGACAGCCCCGGGGATGGCAGCCCCGGAGAGCCCTGCCGACATTGCGCCGGCGGCGGAGCAGCGCTGCACGGTCCGGCCGGTGGACCCGTCGCCACCAGAGGATCGTTGGGCGACGAGCGCCCCCCTCGCTGAGCTGCTGGGCCCCACAGCGGAGTTGGTCGCCAAGCTTGATGTAGGGGAGCCCTCGACGGAGGAGCTTGGGCCGGGACTACGTGGCGACGGCGCTGTCGCTGCTGCGGTCCGGCCGCGCGAAACTCCCGCCACACCGCCGGATCGCGCGGCAGCCATTTTGGTGGTAACGCGCAGCATGGAGGCCCCCATTTCCCCACTCGTGCCGGCTGCGCAGCAGGATGTCGTTGCGCTGCATCCCCGACTCCCATTTGTGCGCGAATTTACGGTGGCTGGCGAGCTGCACCTTGGCGGGGTGAATGGAGGAAGACGTTTTAACGGCGCTCCCCACGTCTCTCGATGACGACACGTTGGCGGCGTTTTGCGCCATTCCACCTGCACGGCACTCCATGATGGCGTTGGCCTTCAAGAAGATGGCCACCATTTACGACCCGCCGTCCAGTATTCGGAACAGGTTCGTGGAACGACGTTAGGGGGAAACCGAGATGCCCCTCGCCTTCAGAAGCACCCTTTTGTCGCTGGCTCAGGCAGCGTTCCCGAAACTGACGGCGGCAGGCATCGACTCTCTGGTGATGGACAGGCTGTTGGGGCTGGCGAAGGAGCTGAATGTCGCCCTACCTGCTTCCGAGGACGACGATCCAACGTCCCTTGTGATTGCACGGTGTATCCAGTCTCGCCTCGGGTTGAAGAAACGCTCGGGCCTCGTGGCCTGTGCTGCACCAGCGGAATGGGCTTGAGACTTCCAAGGAAGATGAGTCCTCCCCAGTTTGTGCTGCTGTGTCCAGTGCCGGAGGTCGGAGGCATGCTGTCGAATGCCAAGGGAGGCGCGATCGGCCTCCACGTTACCCTCCCAGGCCGGGCTCCACTCGCGATGTCTGCTTCAATTGCGGGCAGCCGGGACACGTCGCTGTGGCATGCCGGGCGCCGCACCGGGGACGTTTTGGGCCGCCGTCCATGTCTTCTCGTCCACCATCTACTTCCAAGGGTCCCCAGGCGAGTCGCGGTGCACCACACATTCGGCCCTCGTTCCCACCTCACCCATCTTTCGATCGTGTTGATCCGAGGAAGGTTGTTACTCCTTCTTGTCGGGTTGCACCGCGCGATGGCTCAGCGGCGTCAGGTGAGAGTTGGCCTTTCAGGAAAGACCAGTGGTTGCAGTTAGCCCGTCGAGTCGTGGCCGTGGCCGCCGGGTCATCTACGGTTATCGGTACTATTCAGGGCGTCGAAGTGCGGATCCTGGTTCACCCCGGCGCCTCCGCCACCATGATTTCTGAAGTGATTTTTTAATATTTTGCCGGCCCATTGCTGCTTGTTGTGCCTCGTTTCCATTCCCTATTTCGCGGCTAACAGGGGCTCGCTGGGAATTTTGGGACAGATAGTGGTGGAGGTATCCATCGGGGGCATTACGTTGCAAGGACCCATCTTGGTCTCTGAATCCCTGGCGGTGCCGTGTTTGTTAGGGACAGATTTCCTCGGGAGGATGCCCCTTAAAATCCTCATGGACCGCAGGTGTTTAGAGTTGCCTTCGGGACGGCGGGTTGTATTCTTATCATCGCCCAATGATTCGGACAATGTCTGCGCGTACAGGTGCTCGTGACTGATACGGTCACGGTTCCCCCAGGGGGGCAAGTGCTCGTCCCCCTCTGGTTGCACAAGCCACTTGCTCGCGATGCTACCGAGGGGGTACCGTGTTGACTCCCGCTAATTGAGCAGCCCGGGTGATGGCGCTCATGGGGGCGCAGACACTGGTGTCGCGGGATCACCAGCCCTTTATTCAATGTTGAATGACAGCCCTGATGCGTCAACTTATTCAGGCGGGTACGGTGCTCGCTCACGCGTCGGCCGCGGTCGTTCAGGGGGACTGCGTTGCAGCCGTTGATAGGTCACGTGACAGCGTGCGCACGCGGGCCTGTGATACTAAGTGGGCTGACGCTCTTTGTGATGAAAATCGGGACCTGTCTGGCAGTCAGAGGTTCACATTGCGGGCTTTGCTGGTGGAATTCAGGGATGTTTTCAGCCAGGGGAAATTTGATCTGGGTCACACCACCCTTTTGAGCCACCACATTAATACCGGTGACTCTCCCCCTATCTGACAAAACCCCTACCGGCTGAGCCCGGCTGAAAAGGAATACATACGGGTCACTGTTGACGAAATGTTGGTGGCCAATGTAATATCCCCGTCCACGAGTCCGTGGGGTGCCCCGATAGTGCTTGTGAAGAAGCACGACGGGAGTCTGCGCTTCTCCGTCGACTTCCGCAAACTCAATAAATTATCGGTGGCGGACGCGTATCCCCTGCCCCGTATGGATGACTCGTTGGACGTATTAGCGGGGGCCAGATTTTTCTCTACGCTTGATCTGCTTTCGGGATTCTGACAGCTGCCTCTTGACGATTGATCCAGGCCTAAGATGGCTTTTCGGACGCTGCAAGGCCTGTTCTAGTTCAACGGAGTCCCGATGGGCTTACACTCGGCCCCGGCTACTTTCCAAAGATTAATGGAGTTGGTCTTGGCAGGATTCCAGTGGGACTCCTGCCTGATATATTTGGATGATGTCATTGTGTTCGGTCGCACGTTTGAGGAACATCTTGGCCGGCTGCGCACTATTTTTCTCAAAATGAGACAGGTTACTTTAAAATTCAACCACAAAAGTGCCACTTGTTATTTAGCGAATCGGGTATCGTGACTGATCCCGATAAGATTGCATGCGTGCACATGTGGCCCACCGCCAAGTCGGTGGGTGAAGTGCACAGTTTTATCAGCTTCGCTTCGTATTACTGTCGCTTTGTGCCCGGGTTCGCCACCATTGCCAAGCCTCTCCACACTCTCACGGCAAAGGGGCAGAAGTTTCGCTGGGGTGACGGCTTGGTGCACGCCCCTCCCCTCCGATACCCAGATTTTTCATTGCCCTTCATCCTGGACACCGATGCCAGTGGAAGAGTGCTGGCGTACGGGAGCAAGGTGCTCTCACCCACCATTGTATTTGTAATGCAGCAGTACCGGCCCTATCTATATGGTAGAACTTTTGAGGTGCGATCCGACCATGCTGGCTTCCAATACGCTTTGTATGTTGACCAACCGTCGGGACAGTTGTCGCGCTGGTTGGAAATTCTTCAGGATTATTCTTTCCGGGTTTCGCATCGCCGACGCGTTGTCGCGGCTTCACCCGGGCGGCCTGCCTGTTGGGTTCCCTCCGCTGTAGATCTCCGGATGCGCAGTCATCCTCTTCCATTGTTGCGGCAGCATCGGCACCCTCCCCTGATGCCCCCGTCCCTTGTGATGCTGCCTTGGGGTTGTCCCACTCCGAGTGGGGGCGCCTCCAGAGTGAGGACGCTTCCCTCCTAAGATTGCGCCGCCGTGTTGGTGTGCTTGGGGATAGCGCGAGCCGGTGAAGGGTTGCTCCAGTGGTCATCAAAGGGGGCTTGCTGATGTGTTTAGACGGCGGGCTGCAGCGTTACAACATCGTGGTGCCTACATGCCTCAGAGGCAGGCTTGTCATCGCCGTTCATGAGCGGCTGATAAATTTGGGAATGCACAAAAACGCTTGCCGCCTTTAAACTCGATTATTTTTGGCCCGGCATGGCGATGGACGTCGCAAATATTATCAAGGGTTGTGCGCAGTGTGCACACCGGAAGCCGCCGCCTGTTAAATGCTGCCCACCCTTGCAGTCAATTAAGGTGTCCCGCATTAATGAATTTGTGGCTCTTGATATATTTGGTCCCTTCCCCACTATGGCCCGGGGAAACAAATACTTACTTGTGGGTGTTGAATATTTCTCGCGATGACCTGTTGCTTGGCCGCTTCCGAATCAGACAGCCGGCAGTATTGCCGAGGCGTTTCTGCACGGGTACGTGCTGGACAAGGGGGCCCCGGAGCACCTCCTTACTGACCAAGGGAGAAATTTTTCCGCCAGACTGATGAAGGATGTGTGCAACCTTCTAGGCACCGTGAAGGTGTGCACCTTGCCCTACCATCCTCAAACAGATGGGATGGTGGAGAGGCTTAATAGGTTTCGATGTTGAGTCAGCAGGTCGATGAGTCACAAAAAGATCGGGATCTATGCATCCCTGGGGTGCTTGCGGCCTACAGAATGGCCCCCCATGTTTCCACTGGTTACTCGCCTTTCTTCCTAATGTACGGCCAGGAACCTAACCCCTCCATTGACATTCAACTTAAGGTGAGCCCTACGAAGGCCAAGGTGGCCATCTCTGACCCTATGCGGTTCACCCTTCAACGCGTCTCAGAGGCGCGCGAGGCCTCCAGGGCACATTCGGGCAAGTATTGGGCCCCTGGGGACAAGGCTTGGCTGCACCGTCCTCAGGTGCCTGTCAGCATGTCCCCCAAACTGTATAAACCCTGGCGAGGCCCGGTCAAGGTGGTAGAAGCCGACCGGCCTCAGTGTGTCAAGATTCGTTTCGGTCGTCGGACTTGGTTTATACATCCGTCACGACTTAACCAGTTTGTACCACTCCGGCGCATTCATTCATCCCCAATCCCCGAGGGCCGAATGTCTGGTGTGCCAGGTGAGCTGGGGGACGCACCGGTTGAGGTGCTCCCTCAGGGTTGCTCTGTGGTGCCGCCCGCAGGATCGGAGCTCGTGATCCCCTCGACGCCGTCAGGGGCTGCTCGTCCGGACGCCCCACTCGAGGTGGAGCAGCTATCGACCGGCAGACCTCCATCTGCACCGCGGCCCCCGATGGGGGAGCCGCGACCGCCCACCTGTGACGACGCTACCCCTGCACCCTCTGGGGTGCTTCAGCCCGCCTCACCTGGGGTCCGGCCACACGGACTCGCTCACGAACTGCACGGTTCAAATGCAGTTTGTTCCGTGGGTCTTTATTGTTACGATCGCGCATGGCTTTTCTTCACCCACAGATTTTATGTTGTGGTTTATAGACTTGCGAGGGCGTTGATGCTTGTTCGACTCTTGTTGGTGCGTTCGTGGTTCGTTCTGTATTTGTACATGTTCTCGCTTTATTTATTGTCGGCGGTTATTGACGTTACTCGTTGGGGGCGCACTAAATTTTTGTATGCATTGTTACAGCCGGGACTGCTGTATTTTTACATGGGGGGTGGGGGGGGTGGGTAATGTAGTGACTTAGAGCGTTACTACCGCGTGAGCCTACACACACACACACACACGTGTGACGTCACTACGCAGGGGAGTGTCACGACTACGCGGATCCACACACACACATGACGTCATCACATCTGGTTGAGGGAATGACGTCACGGCCGGTTCGGGGTGTCTGGAGGCCGTGGGTCAGTACCACGGGGGTTGTGTGAGGCCGTGGGTGAACCCGGCTGGACACGTGACTGGATCAAGGTGGGGGCCGGGGAACCCGGGGGCACCTTGGGGGCCACGTGGACAGGAGAAGAGCATTCTCGAGAGTTCTCGAAGGTGGGCTTGGCCGGAGTGTGGCCCGGACACGCCGAGGCTCACATAAGTGGCCTTCGCATCGGGTTCGAGGCTGCTCGTGTCTGGGATGAAGATGTCTAGTGAAGACGCCTCATGAAGAAGAGTCAAGCCTCAAGTCAGCGTGGCCAACCAGTAGCCCTCCTGGTTTGGCCATGCTAGTCGTATCAGAGTCAGTGTTAGCGAGTGTTAGCGAGTGATGGTGTGTGTTAGTGAGGATAGGTCGGTGGTCACCACCCTATGTTAAGAGTTACCGTTATGTTAATAATAATGTTGCCTCCCAAGTTCCAGTGTGCGCCTGAAGTGAACCGATTACGGTAGTATTTATTTCATTGTGTTCCTCTCAACCCATCAATTTCTCCTTGTTAGAGGCTGATGACAAAACAATATTTGCAGTAGCAGAATCTATTCTTCAGGGTCAATGTCAATGGACCACCTGGATTAAATATTTACTTGGATTGCTTCATTTAGACCAAAAGTTATAAACATTGTTGGCACTTATTTCATGCTTTGTCTTTGTTAATTTTGTTTTTGTAAGTCATTTATTTCATGTTGTGCATGAGTTAATTTGTCACCACAACAGGGTACTGACATTCCCTGTGCACGTTTGAAATAGTCCCTGCAATTTTCTAGCACGGTATCCATGCCACAGCCTGTGCCACCCCAGGGGAGCACGACCCACAGGTTTGAGAACCACAGATATGGATAAACATTTCATATATCTACTTTTGTCTACACGAAGGAACATTTATCAAGACGTCTGATAGAGCACCGTCTCCTGGAGGCTTCTCTGCCAGCAGTCGCGTAAGCTAGAAACTGCAGGGCTGCGCCTTTACCTTTACTTTTTACATTCAGGAGCAATTTGATGAACACTTTTAGAGATACAGTATATTTCAAATATGGGAAGCCGTTTTGTTTTTCATTGTTTGCAATCCGTGTGTACAATAAATATGATTTAGACCTGAGGTAAACAAGACATAAACTGACGTTTGTGTCACCGTGCATGTGTGTCCCCTTGCAGGGACGACCTTTCCCAGCTGTCCTACACCACCATGTGCATCAAGGAATCGCTGCGCCTGCAGGCCGTGGTGCCCGCGATCTCCAGGAAGACGAGCAAACCAATCACCTTGTGCGATGGGCGCGTCATCCCCGCAGGTCCTAGCTCCTCACCTCCTCAGCTCTGGTCTAACTGCTATGAGCTGAAATCTCTAGCCTCCCACAGATCCTAACGCTTTACCTACCCTTCGTTCAACCCCATGTTTGTTGTCACTTTGCGCCGACTCTGTCCACGGATGTTGCAACATTTTTACAAGGCTCATTGTGAGTGGGCAGGCGGTGGAGCGAGTGACACGGAGAGAGGGATGCGAGCAATGGACAAGGTCTGCAACGAGGAGTTGTGGTTTGGAGTCCCAGTTAATAAAACCTTTGTAGGTTAGAATCACTGTAAAAACTACATTACCATACTGTAGTTTATGTATCTTTATTCTTCTGTTAAATGGCTGGTCCTTGACTCATGCTGTCCAATCCTGAAGTTCATCGTGTCACGTACCATCCCTTAAAGTGGCATCGCAGCATCTTTGTTTCTTTGCCTCTTTCACTCCATCTGGACTTCCGGAACAAGGTCTGGAGTCGCCGACCCCTGGCCCATGTGGTTCTATGCTCAGTTGCACCATGATAGGGAGCTGTGTGACTACACATTTTGGGAAACTCTATGTTGATGTATCTTTGCCTCCCACCCCCTGTGTTATACAAACGTACAGGGACCCGAGTTTTCATCAACATCTACTGCTTGCACAGAAACCCAGAGTTCTGGAAGGACCCAGAGGTTTGTCTCCAACCTCCGAGTGTGCACGCTGCTTCATTGAACTATCACAGTGTCGCATGTGTGAACTGCACTCACATTTTCTCTGCATTTGACCTATACATGCAGATTCAATATATTCGTAGCCCCTACATGAAGATTGTTTTGTCCGTGTTCACATTTCTTCCAGGTTGAAACAAATATCGGCAGAGCATTAATAATAAACGTTTTTGGGTTAGATCGCGTTATTTATAAATGTGTTGTAACCCTCCACCACCCGACACGGCCAATCAGCAAGAAAGTGTCACGTTGACAAGACAAATAGTTCACTACTTTAGCCCACTGGTGTGTTGAAGAGTGAAACCACAACATTTACCATTTTTTAGTATGACGTTTCGCTGGTAATTACGATTTTTGAAATTTTATTCAGTTTCACAGCGAAGAAAACAAAACAAAACAAAGATCGAGGAGCCGCCCCCTCCCGCGCGCCGCGAATGCCCCACCCGGCCACCGACCCATCCGCGAGACCGGAATCAGCCACGCGCGACCTCGCCCCCGGGTGCCAGTAAAAGCCCCCCCCCCTCATCCCAGGCCTCCCTAACCCACCCTGGGCAGTGGCCAATTCCACTTTTCCCGTGCGGCTTCGTGTCCCAGCCTCACCCGATCCACCTCCACCACCCTCTCCAACAACCTTGCCACGTAGCATGTTTCCAAAGGGGACATCTGGGACCCCTCCAGTTCCTTCTTGCGCGCCTTCCGTAAGGCCTCCTTTGTTGCGCCTATTATGGCCCACGCCCGGTCCCTGTCCTCCCCTCCCACTCCCCGCAATTCCCCCCACATGCCCCACGTTGTCACCTTCGACGGGGCAAACCGGGCCAACAGCGTTTCGCTCCACCTCCACACCTCCTGGGCAAAGGGGCATGCCACCATCACATGTATAGCGCTCTCGTCCCCGTTGCAGCCCCTCAGGCATTTGGGGGTGCGTGCCATTTGGCGGGCGTACATGAAGCCCCTCGTCTTCAGTTTGTCCCAGACCGCCAGCCAGGATAGGTCCCTCTGTTCTTTTGTGAGTGCCGTCGACGACACGTTCCTCCAAATTTGCCGGTGTACCGCCTTCCTCGCACCTGGCACCTCCTCACAGGTCTCCCCTTTCTCCGCCTCGGCCCGCACCTCTCTGGGGCTCCACCGGCCCCCCCACCAGTTCAGGCCGTGCTGCCCCACGTAGTTCCCCACCACGTCACTCAACCAGCCCCCCGGCCAGTCCAAGGGTGTGCTCCTCTCGGCTTGGGTCATCCCGAGGCCCCGCAGGTGCCACGTCAGGCGATATCTCATGTAGCATGCCGCCTTGCCTCGTGGCTCTTCGGAGGAGAACAGTCTCATGGCATTACACACAAAGATCGAGATCAGGGTGTACTCCACATTTGGGGCGCCCCTCCCCCCGTTCACAACCTGCTTGCACAGTATCGCTCTCCTCACCCTCTCCATCCCTCCCCCCCAGTTATATCCGAATAGCGTTGATGTCAAGGCCTTGACCTCCCTCCTACCAGGTGGGAATACTTGCGCCAGGTAGTTTAGCGTTGGCAGTATCTCCACCTTCACCACGATGATCCTCCCAGCCATCGTGAGCCGCCTCCCTGCCCACTTACCCAAACGTCCCTTCGCCTTCCTTATCCTTTTTCTCCCAGTTATGCTCTGCCGACCTATCCCTACAGAAGGTCACCCCTAGCACCGTGATCTCTTCCGTCTGTAGTCTCAACTCCGGTGGCCGACCCTCGAACAACCTTGAGTCCCCAAAGGCCATCAGCTCGCTCTTCCTCGTGTTGATCTTCAAGCCGGAGGCCGCACAGAACCGCCCCGTCTCCTCCATAGCTCTCCACACTGACACAACGTCCCTGCACAGCACGGCCACGTCGTCCATATACAATGTCACTTTCCCTTGTTCCTTGTTGCCCGGGATTGTCACCCCCCTAATCCGTTATCCCTTATTGTCTGCACAAGAGGTTCCACGCTCATGATGAACAAGACCGGAGACATCGGGCACCCCTGCCGCACCCTGGACTCTACTTGAATCACCACCGAGCATTCCCAATTTATCAAAAGCCTAGCCCTGAGCCCCCCGTAGAGCCGTGCCACCTACTCCACCAGGGGCCCACTCATTCCCATTCCCTTCATCACCGCCAGCATATACTCATGCGAAAGACGGTCAAAGGCTTTGTCCAAGTCCAAACCCAGAATCCCCAGCAGACACCCCCTCTCTATTTCCTCTTCTATAGCCTCCCTCAGCGCCACCAGGGAGTCCGCGATCCTCCTCCCCGGGACCGCGCACGTCTGATCCGGCTCTACCACCTCACCCACCACCCTCCCTAATCGCGCTGCAACTATCCTTGCTAAAATCTTATAGTCTGTGTTTAGGAGTATAATTGGGCGCCAGCTTCCCAAGTCCTTGCGATCCCCCTTCCCTTTATAAATCAGTGTAACTAAACCCTCCCGCATATCGTCTGGCACATGGCCCTCCTCTAAAGTCTCCCTACAGATTTGCAACATGTCCTCATTCAGGTGCTCCCACAACTTGACGTAGAACTCCGCTGGGATACCATCCGGGCCCGGGGTTCTATTCCTATTCAGCCCCTTTACCGCCCCCTCCACTTCTCCCTGCCGAATCTTCTCCCCCAGCGACTCCAGGCTCCCAATCCTCCTCCCCAGTGCCGCCAACAACTCCTCCCGCTTCCCCCCATCTGTCCCTTTTCTCCCATACAGCTCCCTATAGTAGTCCTCCGCTATGCTCATCATCCCTGCCATCGTCGTCTGCCTGCCCCTGGTAGGGCTTACCAATTCCATAACTACGTTATCCCCCTCCCTACCTGCTTTGAAGAAGAACCTCGTGCACTTCTCCCCCTCCTCCGTTGCCCTAACCCTCGCCCTGTACACTAGCTGTCTAGCCCTCCTTTCCAACACTGAGGCTATCCTCCCTTTCAATTCCTCTATCCTTTCCCCCATTGGGAAACCTAGCTCAAGCAATCTGTACATCCTCTCCAACCTGGCATTCCACTGCCTTAACTCCCTGTTCACTCCACTCCTCCTACTATGGTACTGGAAAGGCGCTTTCACCCTGCTCTTCATCTGGCCCCACCATTCCACTCTCGTGGGAAAACAGTCCTGCAAGGTCCTCCAGTCTTATTTTTGCACAAAGTCTCCCACCACTTTCTGGTCCTCCAATAGACCCACGTTCATTTTCCACATCCCTTTTTCTCTCCTCGCCCCACCTGGGATCGCGAGCCCTGCCACGACCATTTTGTGGTCCGAGAAGGGGAAGGGCTCCACCCCCGCACTTTCCACTTCTACTTTGGCAGAGGCGAAGATAAAATCTATCCGCGACTGTGCTCCCCCACTTTTGTCCGACCACGTGTACCCGGGCCTTACACCATGCACCCTCCTGAAAGCGTCTATCATGCCGAGGTCCGCCATCAGTTCTCTCAGCTTTCTGGAGGAAGAGTCCAGTTTCCTCCTCCCCTTTGCCGACACCAGGTCCGTTAAATATAGCGGGCAATTGAAGTCTCCCCCACGATGACTTGTCACCTAGTAACCAGTAGGGTCAATACGCTCTCCCACAACTCTACCCTTTCCATGCATCGTACAGGGGTGTACACATTCACCAGCCGCAACTCCACGCCTCGGTAGGACACGTCCATACAAAGGAGTCGGCCCGGGATCATCTCTTGGGTTCCCTCCACTCGCATTTCCCTCCTGCCTAGGAGTGTAACTACCCCAGTGCACCGATTCCCGTTACTACCCGACCATAAGTAGTGGCCATTCCAGTCATCAAGCAGTTCTTCCGAGCCCAGGGTGTACGGTAGGTGGCACTCTTGAAGGAAGGTCACGTCCCTTCTGGTGGCCTTTAACAGTTGCATAATTGCTCCCCTCCTTCCCTTCCCCGCACTTTCTTCCTACCCCTCAACCTCCGGGGCTTCCCCCGGGTCAACCGCCCCCCTTCTGTCCTCCTCCACCCAGACACCTCCGTGTCTGGTGAGGAGCCTGAAGGATCCGTGTCATGCTGGGGGCCAGCCCCCTTTAGGGCTCTGTCCAGTTTCCTCTTCCTCCCCGTTGTTTCCTCCCACGCCCCTTCAGCTCCTTCCTCCACCCGTTGCTCCCTCTCGCCCTCCTCCTCGCCCATTGCCTCCGCCCAGTCCACCACGGGGATTCCTGGGGCATCTCACTCGTCTTCCCTCCCCTCCTCCCCCTGCTCCCCCTCCTGTCCGGTGATGTCATTGCTTCCCCCCCCGGAGGCCTCCCTCCTTCTCTCCTCCCGGGGGGTCGTGGTTCTGCCGCCTCTCCTTCCTCCTCCCCCACAAGCTCCCGGTCCGATCCCCGTCCGGTCGCCTCCTCCACCGCCTCCCCCTCCCGTCCACCCCAGTACGCCTGCACCTTGTTGGCATATGATTCCGGGCAGTTCCTATACAGGTGCCCTCTGCTACCGCAGAGGTTGCATTGGACCGGCTCTCTGCACTCCTCCACCGTGTGATCCGGCGCCTTGCACCTGTAGCAGATTCTTGCCTCGCATGCTGCCGCCAGGTGCCCCCTTCCCCCACACCTCCTACACAGTTTAGGCTGGCCCGCGTATACCACATACCCCCTGTTCCCCCCAATGTTTAAGGCGCTCGGGATATGTTTCAGAACCCCCCCCCCCCCTCCGTCTTAAGGCGCACCCTCCATTGCCATATCCCCACAGAGTCTTGCACCCTCTTGCAGTTGGATAATAGCACGCAATGCTTTCTAAACCACACCTCCACATCCTGGTCATGCAGTGCCTCATTATACAAGACAGTCACAACCTTTGTTTCTAGATCCGACAGCAGCTGCGTCCTCATGGATGCCAGAGGCTTCTCCCCCGCCTTCTCGAAGCGAGTGAGGAAGTTCTGCAGCAGGAGGCTTGAAGTAAAGCTCACATCAAAAGCCCTCCCCCCCGGCAGAGCAATCAAACAGTACAGGTCCGCCACATCCCGAGCATCACCGACCTCACGAAGGTCGCTCTATCAATCGTCACCTCCTTCACCACGTCGTCCTTCAACTCCAGCCAGATGCAGTTGTGCCTCCTGGCGTGCGTTGGTGTCAAGCCCGCCCCTGCTCCACTGCGCCACCTCTCCACTCTTTCGCTGGGCCTCCCCGCCCCCACCGGACCAGCGTCCGCTGTCATCTTCCTCCTCTGTTCCTCCCGTGGCCCCTGGCTTGATAGCATCCCTTCTGCTTCGTCCCCTGTGCTCTGTTCGGGGGCGCTCATTCCCCAGCCTCCCAGCACTTCCCCTCGTCCTCTTCGCTCTTCCCCCCCCGCCCCCTCCAGTCCATCCACCATCTGCGCACCCTTCCCTCGCTGCACCTCCCCCGTCACCTCCCCCGCCCCAGGCGGGCCCGTGCTGTCCCTCCGGTCTCTCTCGGCCCCGCGGGCATCCTCCATGGTCCTCTGCGCATGCCACGTCCCCGTCTCCTTCCCTGCCGCCTCCATTCGCTCGTTCCGGTGAAATCACCTCCCCCACAGCTCGGGTGGCGCCCTCACCCTCCGGCAGCAAGGCCACCCCCGGCCGTTCAGCCTAGGGCCAGCCATGCTAATTGGAGGTGCGGGGGAAGGACAACAAACTAAACACAATAAACTGTTCTAAAAATAATAATTTTAAATCTAGATTTAAAAGAGCGTTCCAGACGGCCGCAGAAACGCATTTGAATGCGTGTTGTGCAATGGTTATACAAAAGCCACTGCGAGGATGACTAGAGTTTGCATGATGATTTATGCTCCTTGAGATCAGCAAGATATTGTGGTTCATTTGTGGCAAGCACTTTGTGTGTAATGAGTGCGATCGTATATGTATTTGTTCAGCAACCAGAAGCCAATGCAGCACAGCGAGCACCGGACCAACATTGTTGGATTTTACAGTGCCCGTCACGACACATGCCAAATAATTTTGTACACGTAGCTTGATAATGTTTTTTTCAGACATCCTGTGGAGTAGTGAGTTGCGATAATCAAGCCTTGTCAATACGATGTGTAACGATTCAGCATAGTTGCAGCGTTCATGGGGAGTGTGATTCCTTGGGGAGGGATGTAACACACCAGGCGGGTTGGTCGTTTTGCCATTCTTTTATAGGTGATAATTTCATGCACACTCATAGGCAGAACCACACAAGTATTGTCTGACTTGTGTGGTCTATATAGAACTTAATAAAGAAAAGGAACCAGTTTTTACACGCAACGCACCCGGACGACTCCATCACCCTTATACACTTACCAGCACGTCCGTTTAAAGGGTCTCACGGTCCTGTGTCCAAGTTCTTCATAGTCGGCCTGTAGCAATATGCAAAGCTTTTCGTGCCTTCTTTGGGGTGGTGTCTCCACGGTCTAAGAGTAGGTAGAGCACCGGCGGCTTCCTTGGTGTGGTGTGTCCACCTTGTAGCAGTAATTAGAGCAAGGCTGGCTCCCTTGGTGTGGTGTATCTACACTCCCGGGTAGATGCTTCCAGCTCCTGGCTGCTGCTGCTGTTTGCTAGACCCACACCCTTCTCATGTCGCGTGCCTCCAAACCCCTTCTTTATTTCCCCTTTTATGGCAGGGAAATTTGCATAATTGGGCTTCCCCACACCCATACTCCTAAAATCGGTCACACCAGCTAGAACTGCCAGAGATAAGCCGGGGGTGTGACCCTCAGCTTTCGCCTTGTCACACTATGCTACACGCCACCATGTTGGCGATGTCACGACTAAATATTGTCTGAATGCGTCGTAGAACCCTTATATGAAATTCCACGACCTGACTATAGTTTGCACGTGGTGATCAAACGACATAATATGAGTAGAAAACTGAATCCTGGAGTCTGCGACCATCACCCCTGATCGCCTCACAATTGTTTTCACCTGAACCCGATTACCAACCAGCAGAACCTCCGAGTTTCCTGATTAAGCATCATTTCGTTTTGTGCAAACCACATGTGCACTGCTCGCATGCATTCTTGGAGGTTATCGAGGCACTCCATACCGTATCTAACTTTAACTTGAATGTCGAGTCGACATTCGTTGATCAGATATTGGATCAATGCTGTTTTGTTGACTAGGGAGCGGCATTTACAAATCCAAAGTAGAGCTCTGGTCCACGGTTTGGGTCAATACCTGACATCAGCAGCAATATGGCGATGAAGGCACTTTTTCGGGATCGTGTGGATGGAGGGTGGAAGAAGACCTGACCAGATCTGCAGCATAATCATGTGGGATGCATTGCAACAAGTGACGAACACGGTCAGGTAGGGGTCGCCATTTCCACAGCAGATCGTAGGACAGTGGGTGCTGAACTCGAGTCGTTTGACGTGGAAAGTCGACCAATCAGCACTCCCTTCTGCTGGTCAGTGCGTCTGGAGCACTGGAGAAATTTGGGTGAGACAGAATTAGTTTGTCGATCCAAGCCAAGATAAGTTATCGGCATGGTCCCCCATTCTCCAGGGAAGAGGGGAGGCATTGCTTGTTCACACCGATTGGTTCGTTCAGCCGAAGTCCCGCGAGCGTGGGGCCTGGCCGCAAGCACCCGGGCAGCAGCAGCAGAATTGGGTTTGGGCACTTCACTTGACACCTGGTGACCTGGGTTAGATTCCTGGCCGCATCAAGCAAGGAGTGCCTGAACGTGTCCTGGATCGCTCCTATGTCAACTCAGTCGTAAATGAATGCCCAGTGTTGTGTGTTATCATCAGCACTTGGGTGGGTAAAGGTAGCAGGGCATGCTGCTGGCCACAGAACTCGGCGTCAAACCTGGGAAACTTCTGTAACAAACGAAACAGACGACTCACCTGCAGCAAACATACCGGCAGATAGTCAAGGAAGTAGGCCAATGCCTCCCATTGGTGCAGAGAGGCCTCCACAGTGATTGGTCGGGAGGCGAGGTTCAAAGGGATTGGAGGTTCTAACTGGTGGGAAGCGAAGGTTGAGCGTTGAGGCGATGGTTGACAACCGTTGAGGGAAGGACGATGATTGGCCGAGAGGGGTGTGGAGTGTGAGGGAAGCTTCGAGAGAAGGGGCTCGAAAGGTATAAAAGGAGAGAGAGAGCACAAGGGGAGGGTACGAGCTTCAAGAGACAAGCAAAGTAGCCGGGCCTAGTGTTGGTGCTGTGTCAAATCAAAGGTGATGTGTCAAATAAAAGGCTCCCAAGTGCAACACGTGAACCGTATGGCAGTCTCCTGTGGTACCATAGTACCCCAGCTCTCGTATAATGTCCGTGATGTAGTTATTTTTAGTCTGTTGATGGTCGGCGATGGGGCAATCGACTCATATCGACGAACTGTACACGCTGCACTATTCAAAGTTTAAATTTTCAAAATCTATTTTTTGTGCTGTTTGGCGTTTCGACATCGTGGAGTAGAAATAAAATATTAAATTGACTCGGCCATTTTTTATTATTTGGTGCCCCGGGGTACCACCATAAGGATCATGTGTCGGCGTCCTGGCACTTAGATGGCTGGGAATGGAGCTCTGTACCAACCCGCTGTTAACTTAATAATAGGTGCTCGCTAAGAGAACTTTGCCCAGCAGGGTAAAGGAGGTGGTGATCAGTGTGCGTACGCATGCACATAAAGTCACTTGATGTGTCAATATGTAATTTTGACTCGCCTGTGCATCTGCCCGCAGGTTTATGACCCTCTGAGATTTTCTCCTGAAAACGCAGCCAATCGCCACCCCTACGCGTTCATCCCCTTCTCGGCCGGGCCCCGGTGAGCGTTAAACCCTCCTGCTCACCGTCACCGTCTCCACAGGCAAACTCGGGCCGTTACGACGCGAACTATGAAGCCCCACGATGCGATCAGCCTGCAAGGGACATGGGGGGGGGGGGGGGCGAGCCATGGGGCAGTGGTTAACGCATTGCACACAAACCCAGAAAGCCAAGTTCGATTCGCGAACACGAATAAAATAATTGCCAATGGGGAGTTGTAAATCATACCTGTCCCTTTCTCCCCTTCACCAACCTACGTTGGCTAGCTTGTTGAAGCAATGTTAAATAACTTCCCCCACTCCAATGAAGCCTTCATCCGACAGTTGATTTTTTAAAAAGATGACTGCGCATTTTTACTTAAAATAAGTCACGCTAGCACAGTGGTAACACTTCTGCTGCTTCGCAACAAGTTTCCAGGGTTCAATTCCAGACTCAGGACAAAAAAATAACGACACAATGTTCCTGGCACTGGTCAAACATCCCAAGGCTGAAACATCTTACCTAGAAATTACTCAATTGGCGATTACACACAGGAAGAACATCGCCTCCTGATTCGTGCGACCACAGAGGCTCCAAGCATAACCAAGCATAAAATGATTATTATTATGAAAGCAGTGAACGTGTCTGAAGCCTGCATGGGTGATAGTGTCAGTGCCTGCCCTGGATGGGTGGGGAGCTGTGGCACAGCGGTTAGTGCGCTGCACTACGAACCCTGCAACACAAGTTCGATTCGCCCTCACGGCCAACACCGGTGACAATTAACTGAACAGGTTTTGGGGCTCCGCTAAGTCGACTCAGCCTCAAATGAGCACCTGGTGCAGTAACTATCGCTACTGGGGAGACAAAGGCAGTTGCGTGTAGCTGGTGATCCACCTGCTCGCTAACAGCAGTTTCCCTAAGTCTATTTAAGGATATAATAGGGGATATTTGTCTTGCCTAGATGAGTGCGGAGAGCCGTCAAATCAATAATTATTTTATGGCGCCTTTCTGGCTCAGAGCCATCACATTAAAACTCAATGTAAAAATATAACTTTTTGTACAATGAGATCTGTAGGGAGCGATGGCACCACACAAGAGGAATGGTGCTGCCCAACACAAACCCCTCCCCGGGCTGCACTTGCATCATTATGAAGAATATTCTCGCAGAGCGCTGCGTGCCCCGTATTCATTATTTGTCGCATTACAGCCACAGCAATGTTTTATTTTGAGAGCTGGAACCTATCCACATAATTGTACAGCACGGCTCTACTACAGACCTCTTCTACGGTTGACATTTGATGAGTGATGATGACTTGAATCGGCAATGCTAGCGATGATAAAATTGTGATTTTGTGACCACGACTCCCTTCACCCTGCGTGCCCCCACCCCCAGCAACTGCATTGGGCAGCACTTTGCCATGAACGAGCTGCGCGTGACGCTCGCCCTGATCCTCTCGCGGTTCCGCGTGCTGCCGGGCCCCGTGGAGGCGCTGCCCGTGCCGCGCCTCGTCAACCGCTCCACCACGGGCTTCCAGCTGCAGCTCGAGAGAATCTCGCCACTCGCCGAGTAGCAGCGGCGCGCTCCGTCCCCATCTCACATCACACCGAGTGCTCTCCCTGCTTCTCACTCTCACATTCACGCTCTGTGGAACTCTCTTCCCATCTCACACACTCACTGTGGAACTCTCTCCATCTTACACACTCACTGTGGAACTCTCTCCCCATCTCACACACTCACTGTGGAACTCTCACCCCATCTCACACACTCAATGTGGAACTCTCCCCATCTCATACACTCAATGTGGAACTCTCTCCCCATCTTACACACTCACTATGGAACTCTCTCCCCATCTTACACACTCACTATTGAACTCTCTCCCCATCTCACACACTCACTGTGGAACTCTCCCCATCTCACACACTCACTGTGGAACTCTCCCCATCTCACACACTCACTGTGGAACTCTCTCCCCATCTTACACACTCACTGTGGAACTCTCTCCCCATCTCACACACTCACTATTGAACTCTCTCCCCATCTCACACACTCACTGTGGAACTCTCACCCCATCTTACACATTCACTGTGGAACTCTCTCCCCATCTTACACACTCACTATTGAACTCTCTCCCCATCTCACACACTCACTGTGGAACTCTCCCCATCTCACACACTCACTGTGGAACTCTCTCCCCATCTCACACACTCACTGTGGAACTCTCTCCCCATCTTACACACTCACTGTGGAACTCTCTCCCCATCTTACACACTCACTGTGGAACTCTCTCCCCATCTCACACACTCACTGTGGAACTCTCCCCATCTTACACACTCACTATGGAACTCTCTCCCCATCTTACACACTCACTATGGAACTCTCTCCCCATTTCACACACTCACTGTGGAACTCTCTCCCCATCTCACACACTCACTGTGGAACTCTCTCCCCATCTCACACACTCACTGTGGAACTCTCCCCATCTTACACACTCACTATGGAACTCTCTCCCCATCTTACACACTCACTATGGAACTCTCTCCCCATCTCACACACTCACTATGGAACTCTCTCCCCATCTCACACACTCACTGTGGAACTCTCTCCCCATCTCACACACTCACTGTGGAACCCTCTCCCCATCTCACACACTCACTGTGCAACTCTCACCCCATCTCACACACTCACTGTGCAACTCTCACCCCATCTCACACACTCACTGTGGAACTCTCTCCCCATCTCACACACTCACTGTGGAACTCTCTCCCCATCTCACACACTTACTGTGGAACTCTCTCCCCATCTCACACACTCACTATGGAACTCTCTCCCCATCTCACACACTCACTGTGGAACTCTCTCCCCATCTCGCACACTCACTGTGGAACTCTCTCCCCATCTCGCACACTCACTGTGGAACTCTCTCCCCATCTCACACACTCACTGTGGAACTCTCTCCCCATCTCGCACACTCACTGTGGAACTCTCTCCCCATCTCACACACTCACTGTAGAACTCTTTCCCCATCTCACACACTCACTGTGGAACTCTCTCCCCATCTCACACACTCACTGTGGAACTCTCACCCCATCTCACACACTCACTATGGAACTCTCCCCATCTTACACACTCACTATGGAACTCTCTCCCCACCTCACACACTCACTGTGGAACTCTCCCCATCTCACACACTTACTGTGGAACTATCTCCCCATCTCGCACACTCACTGTGGAACTCCCTGTCGCATGAGATTGATGATGGTGACATGTCTCTTTTTCGATAGTTCACAAACGTGCCGTGCTCGTGCAACACTCTAGGTTCTCGTGACTGATGGTATTAGATAACTCGTGTTGTGCAGTATGAGATGGCGACAGCTTGGGAAAGCCTTTATCCAGTAATTAGTAATGTGTTCTGTCCTCATAGTCCTGCATAAAGAAAACCATTAAAAATAAACCATGCTCTCAAACTGTAATCGTACTTTATTATGCCAAATATCGGGTTTCATAAAACACATTTTAAAAACAAACAACAAAATACAATAAGGGTTACATTTAAAAATACCCTCGGACAAAGCACCTTGAAAGCGTGTGATAACACTCTTTTTGTTTTTTTTCGGTAAAGTCACATAGGTATAAAATAAATGAAAACAACTAAATTAAATCACGACGTTTCGGAAGCAATACAAGCATCCGTCGTCAGGTATGACCGATCCAGCAAAAATTACTGTAGCGTATGAAGAGAGCTCTTCAGAGACAATGTGTTTATATAGGGTGTTAGGTGGGGAGGAGTCAAGGGGTCGGGGGAGGGGGGAGCATGCGGGCAGGCCGTGTGACGTCGTGGGCGGTTGGGCAGGGGATTAGCATGAGTTAAGCCGATAGATAACCATCTTTTTGTGATGCCAGGGGAGGGGGAGGTTTGAGACTGAGTACAGTGCCGGTACGACGAGTAATGGTGGTGTATCAGGCTGGGAGTAAAAAAAACTGGAAATATGGATATGGCTGTAAAATTATTAGGCAGCTAAAGTTTGACTTGGTTGATGACATCCTTCCAATGATTGCTTAATTTAAAACCATCCTCTCAGTTGAAGTTGTGTCTATGTTTGTATATCTGGATGGCTTCATGGACAAATCTTTGTTGGTATCCATACGGCTTGCAGAGTACTTTGGTATCGGAGAAAACAATATCATGAGAACCCGCTGTGTTGAAACAATGATCAGCTACGGCAGAATAATTTGTTCTACCGTGTTTTAAATCTGACTTGTGCTCGCGAACGCGACTCGAAATATGTCATTTCGTTTCCCCGATATAGCAATCACCACAGGTGCAACTCAGTTTGTAGACACCAGGGTACTGTAAGTCAGGAATGACATCCTTTATGGATGGGATCAGATCACGGATTTTGTGTACTGTACTGAATCGGACCTGGATCTTGCGTTTGTTTAGAATTTTGGAAATCTTTTTGGTAATGCCTGCTATGTATGGCAACGTAGTGATTTTGATCGGAGTCTCAGGGGGCTGTTTCTCCACGCTGTTTCTCCACGGTGGGAGAAACAGCTTGGCAGATAGCACGGTCCGAGTATCCGTTCATCTTGAGGGCCCGATGTAAATGTTACAATTCACTGGCCAGGTGGTGTTGGTCAGAGATGCAGTGGGCCCTATGGTATAGTGTTTTGATGAGGGCATTCTTTTGTGCCAGATGGTGGTGGGAATCAGGCTTCAAGTAGGAATCTGTGTGGGTGGCCTTCCTGTAGACAGAATGTCCCAAAGAGCCATTGGGCCTCCTCTCAAACAGAACATTCAGGAATGGTAGCTTGCCATCCTTCTCCACTTCCATCTAGAAATTGGTTCAATGCTGGGAGGCCATGTGGCCAAATGACGAAAGTATCATCTACGTATCTCTTCCACAGGGAAGGACGCAGAGTGGATGTCTGGATGGCGTCTGTTTCAAATTTCTCCATTAAAACATTGGCTATCACTGGTGACAAGGGGGAACCCATAGGGGTGCCATCATTTTGTTTGTAGAAGGTACCATTCACGGTGAAGTACGTGTTGGTGAGGCAGTGCCTAACCAATGCAGGGACATCAGGGTTCAGTCCATGTTGGACTAAGTCTTCAATTATTGTTATGGTTGTCAGGCACTGGAACCTTGGTGAATAGAGAGACCACATCAAAGCTGACGAGGACATCATCAGGAGACAGTACAATGTCCTTGACTAGAGAGACCAAGTAAGTTGAGTTGAGTAGTACAGAATAAGATTACTCCGATTTGAACTCGATAATTTAGACAAGATTATCTTGCAATCACATTCAATGTTAACACAAAAAATGTCCCCTTCCGATTGGGATCATGTTGACAACATGACAGCCTCCTCTGCTGATTCACTGTCAACCAATTGTAAAGCTAACTTGATCGCTAAATTCAACCTCCTAGCAAAGAAGAAGCCAGAACCATGCATTACAAAGCTAGATGTTAACAAGATCGTTAATTAATCAGAGTAACATTCCAGCTCTGACAATCTAAAACGGTATTAGCTAAAGGGCTGAATTTCGCAGTTACCCCTAAACATATCCCAGTAGAGGATATAATCTCCCATGTTGATGTATCCCTCAAAGGTTTAGGACACATTCAAATGGACGTTGAGAGTGCTGAAATAGCCACTATCCTCAAGAATGCTAAGAAACCCGTTAGCAACATTAGCAAAAACGAACGTTCTGAACTCGCAAATTTGAAAAGAGGGATGACGTAGTCATCCTTTCGGCCGACAAGGGCAATGCCACTGTCATCATGGATAAAAACTCATACAACAAAATCCAGGACCTACTCAATGATGGCAGCTACTCTAAAATCAATAGAGATCCGACTAATAGCCTAACTACTAAAACCAACAAGATCATTACTAGTTCGACTTCCCTAATCGAACCAATCAAACGGCTCTCCCTGAAACCCTCGGCTGTGAGACCTCCCAGATTCTATGGGCTTCCTAAGATCCAGAAAGAAGGTACCCCACTACGGCCCATCGTGTCCACAATCAACTCGCCTACCTACAAATTAGCCCATTTTCTATCCGATACTCTGCTTCCCTTCAGTGGCAAGACCACCTCAGCAGTACTCAACTCAACTCACTTGGTCTCTCTAGTCAAGGCCATTGTACTGTCTCCTGATGATATCCTCATCAGCTTTGATGTGGTCTCTCTATTCACCAAGGTTCCAGTGCCTGACACCATAACAATAATTGAAGACTTAGTCCAACATGGACTGAACCCTGATGTCCCTGCACTGGTTCGGCACTGCCTCACCAACACGTACTTCACCGTGAATGGTAACTTCTACAAACAAAATGAGGGTACCCCTATGGGTTCCCCCTTGTCACCAGTGATAGCCAATGTTTTCATGGAGAAATTTGAAACAGACGCCATCCAGACATCCACTCTGCGTCCTTCTCTGTGGAAGAGATACGTGGATGATACTTTCGTCATTTGGCCACATTGCCTCCCAGCATTGAACCAATTTCTAGACCACATCAACTCCATACACCCATCCATCAAATTCACCATGGAAGTGGAGAAGGATGGCAAGCTACCATTCCTGAATGTTCTGTTTGAGAGGAGGCCCAATGGCTCTTTGGGACATTCTGTCTACAGGAAGGCCACCCACACAGATTCCTGCTTGAAGCCTGATTCCTACCACCATCCGGCACAAAAGAATTCCAACATCAAAACACTATACCATAGGGCCCACTGCATCTCTGACCAACACCACCTGGTCAGTGAATTGGAACATGTACATCGGGCCCTCAAGATGAACGGATACTCGGACCGTGCTATCCACCAAGCTGTTTATCCCACCGTGGAGAAACAGCCCCCTGAGA